TTAACTTACTATTAAATTTTATTATGAACAGGACTTCAAGCAAGGAGACATTGTCAAGGTACTACTGCATTATCAGCAAACAAATGAAGTCATGAAGCCTGTTCTGGAAGCTAGTATTTTCCGGCGCACATATTTCCGAAACATTTTTCTTGTAGAGCTACTGGGTCTACCAGGGTCCTCTGAAAAAGTTTTCAAACCGGAGGAATTCGGGCTAAATAATACAACTCGACATGACTTTATATTGGCTCTGAAGGCTATGGGAAAAGTACCTGATAAGTTATTTCGAGCCTATACTGATATCAAATTTTCTCAAGAAGTAGAAAAGACAGAACGCCTCGCAGAACGCAGTGAACAGACTGAAAAGGAAATTAATTCTGAAGCTAAGTCTGATCTTTCAAAACGCAAACGAAGTTTACAAGTGAGACCTAAAAGGCAATAATGCATAATCTTATGTGCTGCAACTGGAAATGTTAATTGTTATAATCTTTGTAAAGGAAAAGAAATCACTGGTGTATTATTTACTGGCAACACTGACCTTCTTTATCATCAATGATTAGGAGGTAAAAAGAAAATCACAAATGTTTATGTTGTCTTTATTTTCAACACAGTTTTCCGTTGATTTATGCAAAATGTAGAAAAATGATGGTGAAAGGTGAAAATCTTGCGAATCAGTGCTGCTTGTCTCCGAGGTCGGCAGGGGGCGCTTCGTAGAACACACGTGCTCGTCTGCCTGCGAGTACAAAACCGTCATTGTGATATTTGTTCTCAGTGACTTAATTACAACAACATGCCCCATGGTGGTGTGGTCATAGTTCGCCCACATACTCTGGTCGTAGTAGTCATAGACTGTGACGGGCACCGGCTTCTGGTTGGACACGAGGTGCGTGCGGATCGCCGACACGTCGACGCAGTAGTCCTTGGTCTCCATCTATGACAAGAGTACCAGACCAGTCAGTCTCCGTGCAGACAAAGCGCGGACCCGACGAGTCCAGCCGACTCACCTTGTCGAAGTACAAGACGATCACAGTGTCCTGGTCCTTGGTCTCGACGCGCCGCACCAGGGCGTTAGCCTTGAGGTCCGACAAGGCATCCTCGTCTGCTGTGAAACCGGACGGCAGTGTGACCTCTACCACGGCCATGTTGCTCTCGTTGCCCCAACGCCCACCAATGAAGCTGTTCAAAAATGAACCAACATAATGAGGACTTTGATATTAAAGCCTTTACCATTTCAAATGAACTTTTAAACAAGCTCGTTGAGATTACCTAGAGCAGACGCGCAGCGCCAGGAGATTGGTAGCGGTGTTATTGTCCACGTCGACTTTGAGGTTGAACAGGGGGTGCTTCCCCACCGTATCCTCATTGAAGCTCCAGGACACCTGGGCCAGGGCGAAACCAGCGCCGTCGGCAGCCACCTCGACCTCGCGAACGTGGCGGGGGAGCTGTTTTAGGACAAGACATACTTCGGTAAGATACCAGTTGTTTAGCAGGGTGGCGCCATGAGAGAAGGGCGCCCTTCTCTTATGGTGGCGCGCAGTTCCTGGGGAGGACACCAAGGGGGACACTCACCTCCTCCTTTTGGAAGACCATGCTGGTCTTGCTGTTGACGACCATGGTCGCCTCCTTGGGGCCCTTGCTGTCGCCCGCGGCAGCGTCGGCGTACTTGAACTGCACCCTCATGTCGCCGAGCGGGAAGGAGATGAGCTCCGCCATGGAGGCGAGCGCCTGCAGCCCCACGACGGTGTCCTGGGTGGACGCGAAGCCGCCGTTGGAGTTGCGCTGCGACACTAGCCACTGCATGATGGGCAGGGCCTCGTCCAGCAGCCCGCGCGACACGTACGTCATCAGGGCGTACGCGGTCATCTCGACGTTGACGGAGTTGGGCTGCGACCAGTAAGGGTTGTCCTTGTCGCTCTCCACGGGCTTGCTCCAGAAGCGGTGGCCGGCCTCAGTGCTGGCCTTGTCCTGCAGCAGCTTGAAGGCCTTGTCCTTGGCGGGGTGGCCGGCCACGTGTAGCGCGTGCGTGGTGATGGCGATGGAGTAGGGGTCGTCCAGGCCGTCCAGGTTGGCGACGAGGTACTCGAGGGTCTTCTTGACGGTGTCCTGATGCTTGTAGGTGGAGTCGGAGTCCTGCAGACCGATTGGATGGTTAGGGTGTCAGTGAGCGCGTGCACATCCATCGCGCTGCCCGGAGGTCGCGCTGCTCGCTTACCTGGCCCTGCAGGAAGGCGGTGAGCACGTAAGCGGTGAGCGCCAGTCCCTTGGCCGCGCCGCCCTGCATGTCGCGGTGGCTCACCGTGCCCACCTCGGGGAAGGAGCCGTTCTCGGCCTGCTGCTTGGCCAGCCACGTGAGCGCCTCGTCCACCACGCGCGGCTCGACCTGCACCAGGTCGGCGGAGCGCGCCATCTCGAACGACTTGGCCACGAACGCCGTCAGCCTGTCCCGGAGGAAGAAAATGAACGAGGTGAGTGACAACGTCTCTTCCTTGGGAGGGCACGAGTGACGGGGCAGGTCGCGCCGCTACTGACCAAGTGCTACCGCTCTTGTCGCTCTCGCCGAAGGCGCTGAAGGAGCCGTCCTTGTGGCGGTAGGTCATCTCCTTCTGGTAGCCGATCTCGGAGAAGGAGCGCGCCTGGCTCTCAACGAGCGCGGTGGAGCGACGAGTGCGCTGTGCAGGGAGGAAAACCGAAGTTTGTTTGATTGCGTAGCTATTACAATTGTGAAGGTCCCCTTCGATAGAACCCTCCCCTCCCTACGCCCCGCCGCGCTCGAGACGAGGAACTCGGCTCTCGCATGCTGTACCGGCATTAACCCGTGCTCGACGGGATGGCCTACCCGCCCGGCGCTCTCGCAGCAGGAGCGCTTCTGTTCCGCCAAGTATTTACACGAGAGGCCATTCTTACCTTCAAATACTTGGAAATGACAATATTCGGCACGAAGTTCAGCATATTCTGCTCGCCGCAGCCGTATGGCATTCGGATGAGGCTGTCCAAGTTGGCAGTGGTTGGTCCGAGGATATCTCCTGTGAATTCGACACGAGATTGTCAGTTTTCAAGGGACACGGTTTTGGGTTTGCGAACAGGGTATAACTGCTGGTGATGATGCCATACTCACCAATTGCAGACACTTCCACGTTATCTGAGTCGGGCACCATGCCGGGCATGTCGATTTTGACGGTGGTTTTGAACTCCTTCTCCTTCCTGAGGTCGATGGGGATGGCCTTGTTTCGGTACTGGGGCTCGCCCTCCGCCTTGACCTTGAGTGGACGCTCCACGGCGTCGCCGGCCTTGTCCTTGGCCAGGGCCGTCACCTTGAGCATCACGTTGCCGACCTTCTTGGTCGTGATGTTGAAGGAGACACCCGCGGAGCCCTGCGCGGGCACCTCCACCGTCCTGGTTGCGCTCGTCGCGTCCGCCTCGCGCCTCTTTCGTTCTGTAACGAGAATCGTTCTAGTCAAATCTCCTCCGCCATTCACAATAAAAACCGTGAACAAGTTGCAGGATACATTTCTTTTCGAAATTTTTAATTGGTTTTGTCTGGAACGCGTGAATTTTGACACTTGTGTTTCGTGTTGACGAGGAAACTTACGCGAGGTTTTGGGTTCGACGAAGTCGAACTCGCCGAGCTTGTTGTCCATCGTGACGGTCGCCGTCGTGGGCTCGTCCATGTAGTTGAAGACCAGGACCGGCACCTCCACGGTCTCGCCGCGAATCACCGAATAGGGGAGGCTCAGCGAGGCGAAGAAGGGCCTGAACACCGTCAGCTGCGAGACAAACGATGTGCTCGTTATCGAAACGATCGTGGAACGATGTCGTAACGGTGCCGATTTTCTCTTTTATTCTCGATAGTCTCACCTTAGTCGTGTTGCTCAGGCCTAGCCCGTGCACCGGGTCGACGGCGAAGGCTGAGATGACCCACGACGTGATGGTGTCGGGCACTACCGTCTTCAGGCTCACGTTGCCGTCAGCCCTGCGACAAGAGATGGCGCACGTCGCGTTCTAAACGAGGCCAAGGCGCCGTGTGTCTACTGGAGCATGAGCCCGAGACTTACCCAGAGTCGAGTTCTTGCCACAGCCAGGTCTCCGGAAAGAGGGTGCGCAGCCTGGGCGGTGCTGCTGCTACCGCGCCGCCGGCCCCGACAGAGGCCGCCATGGGCCGAATGGCCATCTCCGGTCTGGCCATGGCGGGGGCTCCTGGGGCACCGACTGCTGATGCGAAGGCGACTCCACCGCCAAACCCGCCAATCCCATCTAGAAAGTCTAAGAACGGGGTCACAAAGTATCCGAGAGGGGTCCCATCCCCTAGCCTTACGCACTGGTCATGGTACTCACAAGTCTGTTGCTTCCTGGGAATCTTGGCGTTGGTCAGGTACGCGAGTCCAGCTTTCTGCACAGAGAACAGTCTTACACGTGTCTTGCGCCGTCTTCAAGAGCGGAACGGGCGGCGAACAGAGCGACACTCACCTTGAAGGATTCCTCGGGTGTCTCGTCCCAGCCCCGCCAGCTGCCCAGGAGGCTCTCGGCCCCCGGGCCGCCGAATGAGCCCCACGGCGAGGGCGTCGTCGACTCGTAGCTCAGGCGCTCGTTGCGCAGGTCGTCCAGCGAGATGACGTTGTTGGCCTCCTTGAGCAGCAGCACGCTCTGGTCCACGGCCAGCAGCGCCACCGTGGCGTTGGGCTTGGCAGCCACTTGCAGCATGACATCGCGGCCGGGCTCGCTGCGGCCCGGGTCGACGCGCACCTGCACCTCCGGCGTGAACCCTGTCACCTTGAAGGCCGTGACGTCGGTGATGAGCTCGCCGTTGTCCTTGACGCCGTGGACCAGGACGCGCGAGGCTGGCACCATATCATCAGAGGCCGTGAAGCGCGCGGAGGCCTCCTTCTTGCCCGCCTCGCCCTGCAGGGAGAGCGTCTGAATTTCCCGTACGCCGAGTGGCCCGATCACCAGCAGCGTCACCTTCTGTAAGGCCTGCGTGCTCTTGACGCGCACCTCCACCTCGTCTCCGACCTGCGGAACAGCTGTCGTTATTTACCAACTCACACGCATTCTGATCCGATAACGCTATAGCCCTTAGCTCCATTACCTTGACAGTCTCTTTGGAGACGTCGGCGTGGAGGTCTTCCTCTGATTCGCGCTCCTGCCGCTTTAGATGCATATAATGATGAGTGTCGGACTCCTTGTAAGTGGCCTGCAAAACACACTGAGTTGTGAGAGCGAAATTCAATCCAATCTACGCCGACCTTAACACGCTCTTCTTGTGTCGCTTACCACCAGTTGGTAGTTATCCACGTCCTTCTTCGTCTCTATCTCAAATGACACGATGCCGTTGGACGGCAACTTCTTCTCGGCCACCGTCGCTGTTTGGTTGTCGCTCCACCCTCTGCGTATCTCCAGCTTTACGGGGTTCTTGTCGTCCTGCACGGGCGCGCCGTCCAGGTCCGCAACCTTCACCTGCAAGGTACCACACGCCACAACGTGATGCTCTGACGAGATGCGTCGCTAGTCCATCCAGACCTCACACCTGCCCGACGGACACGCTAATTTACCTTCACGATCACCAACTCGCCGGCGGAGAACTGGTGCGGAGAATCGACGAACTCCAAGTCGAAGTCGTTCTTCCTGACCTGCGTGCTGGCGGAGCCGCTGGCGTTTTGCCTGCGACCCGTGAGGCCCTCGACGACCCACGCCTCAAACTGGACTTGGTTCCAGTACACTGAATCCTTCATTCTGTAAACGAAAGTAAGGCGTTAGCGCTGTGCACATCAGGGAGGATTGGGGGGGGGGGGATTTTACTTACTTCAGCTCCTCCGTGATGTCAAACTCCACTGTTGCCGTGCCGTCGATGGGCACGGTTTTCTCGATGTGCGAGGGCCTAGGTGGGCGCGGCGTGGTGGTGGTCGTCGTGGTCGTCGTCGTGGTGGCGTTGACGTCAGCGACGCCGCCGAATATAGGCACGGGGCCCATGTTGTCGTAGTCGTACACATAGTAGTAGGGCAGCGCGGCTTTGACGGTGGCCTTGCCCGCCACGGGCTTGCCGTAGGTGTACCTGCAGCAGCGTCACAGTTTAAGGACTCTCTGTCGGGCCATACTCGTTCAACTTCACTCGTCGCGCAGAAGACTCACTTTGCGTTGACGGTGACGACGATCTTGCCGTGCTTGAAGGCGACGGCGGACGGCGCCTTGACTGACGTCTCGAAGGTCGGGAGCACGTACTCGGCCACGGAGAACACCTTGTTGACCTTCGGCGAGCCGGCGAGGGACGCCGTCACGGTCCAGTCGCCCAGCACGGGCTGCTCGGAGAGCTGCAGCACGGTGGACCAGATGCCGCTGCGGGTGTGCTCCGACGCCCACTGCTTGATGCGGTTGCCCTTGCCATCCTAACGGTTCAAGGTCAAGGGTCAGGGGCTGCCTCGGGTAAACGGAGAGGTTTTGCTGCGTCGCGCGACTCACCGTGATGTAGATCTCGAGCGGCGCCTGCACGGTGGGCCTGAGCCGGGGGTCGAGGGCCAGCACCCGGATGCGCACACCTTGCCCGGGCTTGTACTGGGCCTTGTCCGTCTGGATGAAGAGCGACGCGTTCTTGGTGCCGAGCGTCAGCTCCGTCGAGTTGAACCATCGTCCGTCGCCCTCGCCGCCGCGGGCACTTAAGACAATTTTGCCGGTGCCCAGTTCACCCACCTGCAGATGCGTGATATTAATGTCGTATCATTAAAGTTCATGTCTTTTAAAGACGGGGCTTATTCATATGAATTTATTTTTGATTTCTTATTATGGCAGGAAAACAACATCCCCTCTTATCAGAAGAACCCCATGCCCGTCTCGTTGCGCTTCGCTTCCCGGCTCCGCCCTCAATCAGCTGTTTGTGCCGTTTATGTAGTTGACCTACCACCGGTTCAAACAGCCTTTTCAAGGAAATATGCCAAGTATGTCAGCAATCTAGTTTCCGTGAACTGCAGAGCCCATCGTGCTCATATCGGCTCTGATATTGTCGCTATCGCACGATGAGGGAAGACCCATTGGTGCATTTTTGTAAGCTTCGCAACAACTCAACCCTTGTGTATTCGTACAGTCTGGGCGGCCGTGACCTTGCGCGGCCTTGGCCACCGGTTGAGTTAGTCTCGAGCAGCTACTCAATCTGATTGGATAAGACAATCTTGAAGCAGGCTTCATAGTTCTATTTTAGCCAAAGACGGACTGGTTCCCTGGCTTCACGAGACTAAGTCGAGACGTACCTGTAGGCGGGCGGTGCGCGAGCTGTTGGGCGGCACTACCACGTCCTGGGAGTAGGTGCGGTTGACGCCGTCGTCGCGAGACACCAGCTCCAGGTGGACGGTCGTGTCCTTGTCGCCGTCGTGCATGGACACGGCCACGGCGTACTCGGAGTTGGGCCGCACCGTGAGGGGCGCCAGCACCGTGTACCTCATGCTGAGGTGGTCAAAAGAAGGAAACATACACTTAGCATGGGTGCGTCCTTTTCAGCTAACTTCCATCACGTCCATCACGTCGATCGCGTCGATCGCGTCGATCGCGTCGATCGACGTGATGGAAGTCGGTTGAAATCTACGTTGTTTTTCGTTGAAAATGCAGGAAAAACAAATAATGTTGATCGGCAAGTGATGTGCGTTCAAACATGATAATACATTTTGCCCGAAAACTGTTTTTGAACGAGATCCAGGACAGAGACTAACCTTTCATCTGCACAGCGCAAACGGCGCGAAGCAGCAGCGATTCAAATGGGGACAAAGACTATATCTTCTTTTAAGCCATTTTATGATGGAAAGTGGCAGAATACGGGAGTGTTAGACTAAATACTATTCATAGTAACGTTAGATAAGTGTTTTAAATGCATTTTCAACGAAAAACAACCTAGATTTCAACCGACTTCCATCACGTCGATCGACGCGATCGACGCGATCGACGTGATGGAAGTTAGCTAAAAAAGGACGCACCCCATGTCGAGCTACCTCTCGCCGTCCGGGTCGGACGATGCGCCGTGTGCGCAGGTCGGCCCTGCCGGCCGCACTGACAGTATAGTACACCGGCCGGCAATCGGATAAGGGCGATGATAACGCCTCTCCAGGACGGGCGCTGAGCTCGGCGCTGAGTCAGCGGTCAGCGTGAGTCAGCCGCGAAAGCACTGATTGGCCTGGAAAGCGCGTCAGCTGGCTGGACGGCCCGGGCCGGGGCTTTCAGAGCGGAGACCGCAGTGCTACCCTCTTGCGCGGCAGGGGTCATGGCGCCTTAGGGTTCAAAAGTCAAAAGTACGTCCTATCTTTAAAGGTTTTATTTTTTCAGATTTATTTGGTAGGGAGCTTGGCGCCTGCGAGGGTTGGGGTAGGCCACCCCGCGGTACACGCATGCGCTGCAGGCAAGATGTTGCCTACCTATCAGGCGCTATAAGGCTTGCCTGGGCTTAACTCATTGGCAAGGATCGTAACGGCAAATGACGGAGGTATACTTTCTGAATGATTACGGGTGGCAGGAATAGAGTAGGGAAACCGAGATGTACCGGTGTACTAAGAGTTTCACTGCGTCAATCCTATCAAATAAACATTTAGGCTGTGAGACGGGAGAAGGGGATACGTATAGACATTGTACTTTTCAGGAAATCATAAAAAACTATTTGCAACCAACTTTCTAGAAATTTTATAATGAATCACTACATTGCCATCAAGGTTATTATTGCAATAATAATAAGTTACATGTAACTTTACATTTTTTCACTATCAACTTTACAGTCTCTCATTACGCTTCTTCAGTTACATAGGGCTTGTCTCTTTTCTCCAGCATGACGGGAAGAGACAAGTAAACTTAATTCTGCTCTCATGTTCAAAATTTAGATATAAATAATTATTGAGAGATTGGCTAAAAGAGTTATGTCAACTTGTATGCATGAAATGCAAAAGGAAGTAAGTCGAATTAACTTGTTGCACCACATGTTGTGAAATGAGGTTCAAACCGTTTGAGAAAAGACAACGCACCAGGTAATACATACTTACATGGCTGTTTTAAAAAAACTAAGAGAATGATCTTCTGTCATTTTTCTGCGCACTTCTTCTTGTACAGCTACAGTCTAGAGACTAGGTTAGGTGAGAGCTCCTCAACTCCATGACATCTTTGCTATTCGAAGCACGGGCCATAGCAATCAAAACGAAATACATTTTCTACTTGTATCAGGGACTTAAGTGGTAAATTTCAAGACACCTGTCTACCTTGGCATTCACTTGCATCGAAGACTTAAACTTAAACCAAGCCTGTCACAACAACCAGTGCCTATGCCGTGCGGTGTCTTCTGCTTCTGCTCTGACGGCGGACCATGAGAAATTACGCGTTGCGTATGAGTTTTGGCTTGGTCGGAACTCGACTCGAGCCTGGTACCTGCGTACCCGGCAGGACGAAGGGGGCCCCCCAAACACTGAGAGGGGGAGGGGGGGCGGAAACTGACGATTACAAAAAAAATGAGGCCATTGCCCTTTCCCACACTCCCACTAGCTACAGAAAAAAATGCGACAAAAAATGATTGCAAGGATGAAATGTGTTATCCCACCGTTACAATCACGCCCCCGCCAAGAAAACGTCCAGTAGGGGAATCCCACTTGATGGTCACGTCACCTACTGGGAGTGGCAGGGAGGGGGAGAAGGGCGCGCTCGCGGCCGGCGCCCCAGCCTAGCCAGTGGCCTAGCCGGCCCGGCGGCGCATACCCTAGGGCCGACGCCTGCCTGAACAGATCGATCGATAGCGGCCAAGTGACGCTTTCCTCGTATCATTTGCGACCGGAGATTAGGTCGCGTGTAAATTTGTGTGTGTTTGGGCGCGCGCGCTTCTGTGGGTGTATGTGGAAGAGGGGAGGGAGGGAG